TAATTTGGTAAAAGACAAATAGTTTTAGCAGTTTTACAGATTAAGCTTGTCTTATAATATTTTAACAAAACATACAAAAGCATTTTTTCTCTCATAGGATATATAAATCACTAATACCTAAAAATAGTCTGTTCTTTTATGGTTTTAATATTCCTTGAATGCTTTATATATATATATATATATATATAATGTTACAGCCAATAGTGTGAAACATAAAATGATGTGAATGTTTTATTGAGTGGAGCTCTGCATAATTCAGAAAGTGTTTTGTTGGTGATCAAAGTTTAAAACAATTGCATGACCACTAAACATGATTTTTTGCAAATATGTACAACTTTGCAAGGCTAATGTGATGAAACCAGAATTTTGAAATTTGATGTGCGTGCTGAGATATATGAGGTCAAAGTTTGCCATGTAAAGTCTGTAGGGTGATTGCTGTTTGTAAGCTGGTCACGTGCTTTATGTCGCTTGAACTTCTAATTGCTGTCAATTTACATTGATCTCTATGACAATTTTTTATTTTAGATTTAGATCGGTTTTAAACTTTTTTTTTTCACACAGTTTTAGTTATCTATTCCATGGAGTTCACTTTTGTTTTCCTAGAAAATACCTGATGTGAATGACCAAAGTAACGAGTGTTGTCTTTTATCAGATATCATATTCTTTTCAAGCAAGTATTGTCAGTAATGACTGGGCAGCACACACCTATGATTAAGGATATTTATATTTATTTTGTTATATAACACTAAATAAATAAATAAATATATATATTTATTTTGGAAGGGACCTCCTAGATCTCAAAATAAAAATTTAAAAGGTAATGAAAGTAAGCCTAAATTTTAATATAGGATTTATATTATCTACAACTTTCTCAGCAAAAAGAATGAAAATACATCAAATACCTAAAACTAATTTAAACTAACAAAGCTTAATAACCCTAACTCATGTATTTCTTGTGGTTAACTTTATTTAATATGTTTTATTTATTTGTTTATTTTATTTCATTTCATTTATTTATTATTTAATATATGCAGTTCTTTTAGTTTGTTTTAAATTATGTTCAAATTTAAAATGGTTTAAATTTGAAAATAACAGTATGTTCCATTTTGGAACATTTATATTGTATTCTAAAACCCGAGGATGACCTATACTAAAAAGAGGTTGAAAATGTTAGTGTAATAAATAAATTTTTGCTCAGCAAACATTAGGTGGTATTTGATGTATTTTTGGTCTCTATTACTTTTCTTCCGTCTAGATAAAATGATATAGGCCTAGGTGATAAATAAATAAATAGTCTATTGTATATATATATAAAATAGCAAAAACCAAAATAAGATATAGTACTTTCGTCTTAATGTGGAAGTTGTCAAAACAGACTAAACCACTTTTCATCCAGTTGTATGGGAAGATATGCAGAACACAGAAAGGTGTACCAATAAACAATTATTTTCAGCTGTTTCATGAAGTAGAATTAATAAAAGTAAAACAGGTTCTTTTTAAAATAGATTGTAAAGCCATTTTTTAAAGTAAAATATAAAATTATCAGAAAATATTTGCATTCTATTTCGAAAGTTTGTTTATAAAAAAATAATATTTGAAGATCAGAAAAACTGTTGTTAAATTAATATTAATATTTATTTATTCTTAAATGCTAATTAAATGTACGAAATAATACAAAATTTCTTATTGTATGTATTGTAGAAAATATGTAATATGAACATTTTAAATTATGATTTAAAAATGATTAAAAGGTGGTGCAAAACTGGATGAGATTATAGTAAAGCACCAATTATCACCCGTAATCCAGTTAAAATGAACAAATTTATTATAAGAACAAAAACATTTTCAACTGTTTTTAACATTCATCTTCAGGTTATGGTTACAGGTGATAGTTGGTGCTTTTATTTTGATTTAAAAATGCATTAATCTTAAGTTGATATGATTTTCTTCAGAATCAAATATTCTCACATAGATGATTGAATCAAATTTATATATGATATGAAATATGAAATTTTTTAAAGAAACTGTTGTGATTTTATCAATTCTACTTCATTAAACAGCTGAAAAGAATTAACAAGTCGGAAGGACTATAAATTATGTGCAATGGTTACCATTAAGGCCATAGAGAGGGGAGAAGAGCTGGGGATTTTTTTCTCAAGCCTGGAGAAAACTTAGGAGCTCATTATGATTTCTGCCCTTGTAAAATTACTGTTATTTTTTACTAACAGGATATAAAATCTTGAAGACTGCTTTTTACTAATATAGAAACTATCTACATATTTCATTTGTTCAAAAAAGAAATTTAAAGGGGCCAGTCTACCGTAGACCCCCATTCAAACTTTTGACAGTTCTGTTTACCATGACAGTTCACATCAATATACCAAGCAGCACTGGGCATTGTTGTTTTAACACATTACCAATATTGCCTGCTACAGTGATGATGGAACATCTCTGTCCTGTTTATTCAGGTGCTTTTTGTATACTCAACCATAACACACATGTGTGTAGCAGTTTGAATTAATTTTAATGAATCCTAAATTGATTATTTCATTAAATATGTATGAGAAAACAGCCTATAACCTATATTTTCTAGCAATACATTTAAATAGGTAAACTTAATTAATTAATAAACATAAACTGATGTTGATTACTATCAGGTTATAACAAGGATATATACTGTACATGGAAAGGGGGTTTAACCCCTCTATATAGGGAGGAATTTAAATATTAATAGAATAATTAAGAAAAATTAATTTAAGTATTAAACAATGTATTGTATATAACTTATTTTGTATCTGTTCAGTTTCTTTTTAGTTTACTGCAATGATATAGTATCATGTTACTTTATTGTAAAAATTAACAAAATATGTTAGAAAAAGTAGTTTTTGTAAAATTCCACTTTTAAAAATCCTGAGCATAAACCTGAGTTATAATGTATAAGCTCATAAGTTTGATTGATTTGAATTTTAACAAGAAATTTTCCATCTTTCAAGTATTTTTTGTTAAATTCATATCATTTGTACTGTACTTGGAGATTATAACCTGATGATGATCACTGAAGATGATCAAAAACACTTTGCGTATTAAACATATTTCTAGTCTAGTCTATATGAGCTGTGTTTCATATGCAGTAATACCTCTGTTTTCATTGACTTAAGTTATCATCAATTTTTTCCATGAAAAATTTGCCTTGGTTTTCATTGGTTGCTTCAGATATCATCAGCATTCCTATGTGACCTCGCTGCTAATTTTGTGAAAACAAAAAGTGACTCACATGTTTTTATGCTTAGTGTGGCATTGTGTGAGCATTACCCCATGCATCTAGCAAAACAATTCTATTCCTTTCCTTTCCTTTCCTTTCCTTTTAGCTTCATCATGGAAACAAAGAAAGTTTCCAAATCCAGCAGCCCTTTGAAGAAGGCCAGGAGCACGATCAATTCGAAGGAAACCATTGAAAAATACAAGAGCTGCATTAAGATTGCTGAAATCGGCCGCATTTATGGAAAGTCGTCATCCACGATAAGTTACATTGTGGCAAAAAAGGAAGCAATAAAGGAGGCTAATGTAGCAAAAAGCATGAATGTGCTAGCAAAACAGAAATCGCAAACAATTGAAGATGTTGAACAGTTATTATTAATTTGGATCAATCACAAATAGTTAGATGGCGATTGTTTTGGAGGCCATCATATTAATCTTTTATATTCATTTTATATTAATTTCTTACTGTTTTTACTATTAAACACTAATTTATTCTCTATAAAATATATTTTTGGTATTGTATTTTGGATTGTCTAAAACAAATTAATTGGATTTACATTGATTCATATGGAAATAATTGCCTCGGTTTTCATCAGTTTTGGATTTTACCGATTGTTTTCAGATGGATTAGCAATGAAAATTGGGATATCACTGTATATTCAATTGAATTAAGTAAGATTACTGTTAATTTCATATCATATCAATATATTGGGCTTTGGGTAGTTGATATATATATTCATATCAGAATTTGTAGAAAACAGTTTGAACAAAATTTCAAAATCTTCATTGACATTAAATTGTATTACTGTTATTGATCAATATATTGAATTATATATGCTGCATATTAGTATATAAGCTCCTCCCAGAAACTGTAATTTTATTTATAAAGATATTCTTTTATAGAAAAAGTGGAAATTCTATGTAGTTTTATGTAATTGATAATGGTGTTTAAAACTTGAAAAATCTTTGTAATAAAATATTTTGAGACTTAAAAAAATACCTATTTCATNCGTTGATCTGTATTAGGTTAATTCGTTGTGTAATGTTTAAACGAGAATTTACCACGGATCGTTAGCTAATTTTCTATTATTATTTTCTTTTTAAATTTTTCTCAGCTAATGATTCACTCAATAGAAAGTATGAATGAAGCGATTGAAACGTTATACCTTATATATACATCTGCAACATAATATTTTTGTTCATGTAGTTGGAATATTATCCTTCCAATAAGTAAAAATAATTCACACACGAGATTTTATGAATTAGGCTTAATTACTGTAAATGTTTAGTAAGAAAAAAAAAATTACTGTTTCCTTGCTTCCTGATGATCCTGTTTTAGAAAGTAATTGCTTTTTTCCGAGTGTTCTACGAAATAAATGCTCTAATTCTTGAATTTTCCCTGTTAAAATCACAATCAGGAAGGACTTTTACGGGTCACATAAGCCAATTATTCCACATAGTTGGTGACTTGTATTTTTAAATAAATTATAGAAATGTTTAAAATTTTATTTAAAATAATAACAATAAAAAAAAAAAAAAAAAGAGAAAAAAAGAACACACAAAACTCTACAAATAACATACAAAGATGTAGAACATTCTTGTTAAAATTTCGGTAAACATTACATTATTCTTCTGTTTTGTAAACTTTTACGAAACTTTACTCATACATAATTAATTTTTCCTATAATTTTCTACGGTTAGATTATTTCGTAGTCATCATTTTAAAACAAATTAAATCATGTTTAATTTGGCATGTTTTCAAAGATAATGAAGGCGGAAAAATTATTAGAAAACATTTAATTATAATTTCACTAAGTTTGCTGATACTTTGTTCGCTATCACTTTTATATCTTTGAATAATTTAAGCGAAATATTAGTAATTTTTTTAAAGCAAATTTGACGGAAATTTTATAAGAAAAAATCCGTTGTACTAATTTGGTTCAACCCTTTTGAATGTTTCAAGGTCGAACTTTTTTTGGAGGTTCCAGAGTCTAGCTCATAAAACAATCTAAATATATATATATAAGTGCTGCAACTTATAAATTGTATATCGATTAGGGTTGTTTTAATGATGTTTTGATAATTTTCAAGTTCAGTTTCCACATTCTTGTGCCACAAAGATCTTTAGACTTTATTCAATATCACCCTCCCTCCCCACCTTCCTCGCCCGGTGAGACGTTTCAAAGTTTATTCCATAGTTCACGATTGTTGTTAGATTTTAATTAAACAACACTCGATACTTCTAGATGTTATCTACTTATATAAATTTCTGGAATGTTGAACTAACCTGCGAAATCTTATCACGTACCAGGTTAGTACGATTACATTTTATCGGATTGTTAAAATTGACCTTGGTTGTTGCACTTTTTCTTCTCGGTTTTTCCAAGGACTTCTACTAAAATTTCATTATTTAAGTATTATAAAGTCGTTCTAAAGTGTAATAATTTATAGAAAATCACGGAAAAAAATCACCACCACTCCTAACCGTTCAATCCGTTTTCTCAACTAATAGGTCACGAAACGTTTTTTTCGAAGGGTCGATAAGCGGAAGAGGTTGAGAAATATCGTTCTAAATTAAGTATAATTCGGAATTTTACGTGTAAGTTACGAAAGAATCTCGAAATGTATCGTGTCCGGCACCGTTCTAGATGTCTATCATTACGCCACTTTACTCGCTACGTATCTAAAAAGTCGCTTTCATTGGTTTAACTTGGTGCTTATTTATAAATTAAACACGAGTAATTAATATTGGAGAGAGATTAATCGATGTTTCACGGAATTTCCATTGATGGTTATGGCTTATGTAAGCGTAGATGTTGCAAGACATCACTTAAGCTCTGACTAAAATAAAATACAGTAGTTCGGTGTGCTTAGCGACAACGTTGGCATTGTCTTCTCTCGACACTGTTAAAATAATAATAATAATAATAACTACTTGATAAGCATTCGGATTACTAGGATTATTCGTTCTTTAATTACGTGTATTATTAAATATGAAGTTTTAGCGTTTTTTTTTTTTTTCCTTTCTTAAAGTGCACGCCGAGAGTTCGTTCACTCCTGCTGTGTCGTCACAGTAACCGACCCTCTCGGTTTTGGTAGCGACTAAACCAGAAATTCGAATGAAAAACGTCACGGAAATTTTGTTCGTCTCTTGTATAATTGATACAAATGACCTTGTTTGTATGTCTAATTATTAAATTGCATTACTCGTTAAAATATACGTAAAATTCTAAGTAATGTTTCCTCACTTCGTATATAGATTTATAAGTCGTTTCTCATAGTGCACGAACGAATTTTTAGCATATTTTTGCCCATTTAAATGCTAATTTTAGCCTTTTTTTAAAAAAAGTTGGCCCGCTTCTTTATGCGCATTTAAGCATAGTTTTTAAGCGCAAATTATTTTGTTTATCGGCTACGTCTAAGTAGTAACGTTTAAAGAATTTTTGTTTTTCTATTTTCCTTTTTGCTTTGTCTAGTGTGACGTTTCGTCCTGTTGTAAGTACACTTGCACTCGCAGGTGACGTCATTCGATACCAACGTGTCTGCTGGAACGGATGGCTTCCTTCTATTCTCGTAATTATCTTTTGCATTGAATCATGCATGCCTTTAATTTCGCGTAATGGAACGATTATTTTGTTTCTACGAAACGTTTTCAATATATTAATGTAGTAATTTTTGTAGGTAATTTCTCTATTGCTGGTTTTACCCAGGATTGTTGCACTGTTCTTAGGCAAAACTTTAGGAAGAAGGAATATTGAATAAATATTTAACTGGATTTTTAGTTGTAAGTAGTTTGTTAATTAACTAATATATAT